GCTGTGTCACATTGTAGCATTATGGCCCGTGTGGACATGGAGCTTTTTCTAAACACCAGCGTCTTTTTCAAATTGATTCCAATGAGAACAGAGTGCTAGCCTTCAGTGGCGTCCACCTCCAGAAAAAAAACTGTATCTTTTCAGAGCACTCTCACCCACTTCCAGCGCTCAGATGAAAACGTTTCAGAAAAAGCACCAGGGTGCTCGTGTTTGGCCGTGTCTCTCAGATGGAAACTATCATAACAAAGACAGAAAAGCCTGTTTGTTGGAGCAGTTCGGCCGGGAGGACACCGGATGTTGCTCATAGTGAGAATCATAGTGTTTCCATGATATCATTGTCAATTAAAGAGTTCTGGGAGGGTGTTTTTGCTGCTAGCAGGCGTTCCCCAGCGACCTGCCAGTGCCTTTCTGACAGAAAAAGTGTCTATGTGCACCCTTATGTGAGTCAGATGAAAGAGGAGAACATCAATCAGTGATCAACCTCACTTGATGTTGAAGGAGGCAGGGGCAGCTCTCACTGAAGCAGGTGACATTTACTCTCCACCGAGACAGAAAGGAGGTCTAATATTTAACCCTCTACCCTGCTAGGACTCTGTCAGAGCGTCTCTGCCTCGTAGACCTCTGTCTCTAATGAGATGATTGACTGATTAATGACAGACTTTTTATGAGCAAGTCATATGCTAAGAATGGCCGTTTAGACTCCATTAAACTCTGAGGAAGTGTCAAAGGTGATCAGCTAAGCACACAGTTAATTGTTGACTCTTTGTTCACTGATTGGCTCTATCTGAAGCTTTCATCCTTATCACATGCTCTCATCTTAAGTCCTAAATCGTTCCAGCTACTGAGCTCAAATATCAACAGATTTATATCCATGACAACTGGGGCCCATTTCCACTGTGTAATGTGGTTGAAAGCACAGGAAGCAGCATGTGTTTGGACCCTGTGTTGGAATTGTTTGATGTAAATTACCGTACTTTTCGGACTATAAGCCGCGCCTTTTTCCCTATTTTTCGACGCTGCGGCTTATATAACGGTGCGGCTAATCTATGGATTTTTACAGCTAACGGCCAACACCTTTAACTCTATGGGCTCTATGGCCGGTCCGCGGACCCCCACCTTTAAGCGGCGGGTTCCAGCAGGAAAAGCTGGAGGCCGGAAAAGAGTAGCGCGCAAAAGTAAAAGTGGAACCGAGAGTGGTATGCCGCTGCTGCGGCTTATATTCAGGTGCGCCTTATAGTCCGAAAATTACGGTATGTTGGTTTGGTTTGTGGCAGCACTGGAGTAAACACTACAGTTCACAGGGGCTCCATTAGTTTGTTTACAAGCATGGGTGTCCGCGGGGTCTTAAAAAGTATTACAAGTTGATAAATAAATTTAGCAAAAATGAAGGCTATTAAAAAGTATTAAACGGAATTTTCCAAAGTATTACATTTGATTTCTCTCAAAATTAAACTTTTTTTTTCTTTCTGGAAGAATGTTGAGTTAAGTCTCTTAATCTTCTGTCCGTTGAATGTCCATAAAATGTTGTAAAGTTGTAACTACGAGATATCACGTCTCCTATGTTTGTAGTTGCCATCCGACAGACTACCCCAAACCTTTAGCACCCTCGTGGTGTGACGTTCAATGAACCGGTCTGTCATGCGCGCAGAAAAGTAGGACAGACTAGCAACCAGAACTCGCTTAGAACAGAAACCTGACCTACTTTCTGTTGAAGCACTCGAAAATAAGTACGGTGTTTACATAACCTAACTTTACTACTCAACTTGCCCTTAAACTTAACCTGTCTTTCTACAGTTGTTGTAACTGTTTACTTTTTTCTTTTGGACTCAAAGCGTACCTATGTGAAGACTTGTCTACCATGTTGAGCCAAGACTGGTGTAGGTTTACCATGAAGTCGAACCCCAGTGAGAGGTAGTAAGGTCAGGAGTACATCCAGACAACTATGTCGTAACGTAGTAGGGATGCTAGAGTCTTATTCTAGTTTTCGACGACTAATTGCAAACACTCACTGAAAACTCATCTCAAAAAACGAAAAGCAGGTCCTGTTTGGGTGTAGCTACTTCGTGGAGTTGGTACTGTTAAAACACCGATAGTTAGAAGGTATGACAGGGATTTTTCTGTTCTGTCGAGCCTAGCTTGTTAATGAAAAGAAAACAAATGCTCCGTTTCCGTTCCGTTTACCGGTCTGAATAGTTTGGTATAGTACGTCTTACCCAGGTGTGTTCGGTGTAATTATCTAATACACATTATACTTGGTTTATTAGAGTTGAAACCTTAGTATATCACTTGGTGGATATTGTACTTGTGTTAAATGTGTGTTAAGTTTAACTAGTTGACTGGTGCGGATAAATCATTACCAAATAAATCAGATTCCATGGATCTATAAACTATAATCGATTCACAATTTCGATTGAATTCGAGCCCTATCGATCGCCTCGTTGTTAAGGTAAAATCCGACATTGATCTCTATTTTTACTCGTACCCGTATTTATCGTACAATCGGTTGATTTGAATCTTTCGTTTTAATTAAGTATGATGGGTACAGTCCTTTTCGATTGGGAAAACACACAGCCGGCACAACGCCTGCGTCACCAATGGCACAGAAGCTGACATATAGAGCCGGCGCCGGACGCCAAGTTAGACGTGCGAACCTTTTTTCCGTCGGACGTTTTGTTAGATGGGAACGATAAGAGGTGCGCGTGCGCGTGCTTCACTAATCCATGGCGAGCCGGCGTGCATGGATCGTCGAGCCAGTAATGACATCATCCAGAACAGGATTCTAGACGTCTACCTAATAGGAGTTACACATGCTTATGTAAAAAGTGGGGGTTTGCAGGTAAGTGCCGCAACTCTTGCGTGTGAACGACTGTCCTAGTTATAAAGTTCCCGAATTCCTCAGTAAAAGCGTGAGTTTTATTACCGACCCTATGCCTCTAGTCGCGTAGGGGGATGGGGGCCTGTTGTGGGGTATCAGCTCCCTGTGAGAGTTGTCTCAGTAGGGCATGTCGCCGTTTCTTTAGGCAAAGGATAGGAAATGGGGGGCCCGGTCGCGGGGAGCCCGTGCGGGGTCGGTCGGTGACAGACTAGACCGCGAGTGGGCCGCTGACTCTCCTAAACCGACCCTATTCGTGGAACCCTCTACCATGGGGATGCTGTGATATCCCTGTATACTCGATTGTTTTTCGATAGACCATTCAGTTTGAATAACCACGTGCATACGGTTTCTTTTTTGTTGCATGATTGAAAGGACCTGATACTGCAGTCTTAGGTGCCCTATGGTACTTTAGTTTGATGGTGCTCTTAGTGGTAATGTGCCCGTGGATGCGTTTCACTCAATGTGAACCGGTCGTGTGACATCTGGTTGTGGAGAAACTGTTATCATATTGACATCACTTTNGAGTCTGAAGCCAGATTATTACATGTATAAAATGTCATTTATGCTCAAAAGTTATTGACTTTTTTTAAATCAGCTTCATAATATGAAGGGAGTAATAGAGATGGGTAATTATTCAACATTGAAGGATTCAGGTTCTGATTTTAAGGAACTGCATGTGGGGGAAGAAATAACTGATCATCAGCACATCAATTTGCAATCAAATTGAATGTATTTTTAAAGATGATTTACAGAGTGTTAAAACATCACGTGGATGATTTAAGATGCTTTATTCTATAGAGTGTTAGTACTGATAGCATCATAATTCATACAGACGACACATTCAGCCAAGGGCGACAGAAATAGAAATATTCACATTCAATATTTTTTTATATAAACTCAAATGAAAATATGCAAACGCACAGTGAGTCAATGGCTTACAGTGCAGACCAGAACTAGGTTGCATCATATTATAATTATGGACAATATAAAAGCTTTGAAATATTAGTTTCATGGCAAGATTAGTATTCAGCTAACTCCACAGACTCAAACCCAAACATTGTTGAGTCATACTGTGACTCTGAAGATGATTTTTCTCCATCTCCTACAACCCAGTCTCACGGCCTTTCGTGTTGTAGTCACAACATTTAATCTATTGATTCGTGTTCACCAACACGATTTTCCCCTTTTTTTCGTGTCACACAGAACTATTTTAAAAGCAATGTATTTCTATTGGTAGAAAGTTTCGTGCTTGATATTGAGTAAGAACATGTTTTTATGAACCCCACAGCTTCCGGACTTCCAAGACCCGAACGGAAAAAAAGACGTGGTGCAGGCACGAAACATACTCCCAATAGAAATACATTGCTTTTAAAATCGTTCTGTGTGACACGAAAAAAAGGGGAAAATCGTGTTGTTGGTGAACACGAATCAATAGATTCAATGTTGTGACTACAACACGAAATGCCGTGAGACTGGGTTGTGTAACACCACATGCACTGTAAAACACCATAAACCTAAAATAACCTGTGTAGCACTTCTCCTCCAGACTCTCCAAAGCTCCCCTCTGTGTCCGTGAGTCCCTCTGAGATAGAGGAGGGCAGTTCAGTGACTCTGACCTGTAGCAGTGATGCTAACCCAGCAGCTAACTACACCTGGTACAAGGAGGATGAAGACTCTCCAAAAGCTTCAGGACAGATCTTCACCATCACTGACTTCAGAGCTGAACACAGTGGGAGTTATTCCTGTGGAGCCCAGAACAAGTTAGGACGTCATATCTCCACCTTACATCAGATTCTTTCGGCAGGTCAATTCTCCACCTGACTTTTTGATTGGATGATTAACAGATATATCACCCAGCAAACTATAGGGAAGAGATACTCAGATATTCAGATCCTTTGGAAACACCTACCACCTTTAATAAATGTTCAGGAGCCGGCGCTTGAAGTTTTCGGAGAAGATAAATGAAGCAGAGGCGAGAACAGGCAGAAAAGTGTCTTCACTGTAAGAAAGCAGGAAGTATGACTAAGTTAGACTTTGTGCAACACACCGACAAGCCTCTCTTGAAAAAATGAAGACAGACTCAAAGATTTGCAAAAATATTTGTTTTCATATCAATCATTTTATTTCCAATGTTGCTGAGGGAATAAAAACTTTTCTCAAATCAAATCGATGAGCATTCAGCACGCCAGCGTGTACGAATGATACGGGTCAGGTGATTGGTCAGAGCAGAAAACACTGTGTGGACAAACTGAGGGCAGGTAAGGGGCGGCAGGGTCTGAAACGAGAGAGGTAACATGTTATAATCTACACAGTGTCTACCATCACAGTTTAGCAAGCTAGCATGCATTTAAAATCCCCCCGAGATAAATGTGTAAATTACAATATAGTGATATATAAATACAATTGATAAGGCAAGGCAAGTTTATTTATAGCACCTTTCAACACAAGGCAATTCAAAGTGCTTTACAAAAATGAAAGACATTAAGAAAATGGCATTTAAAATCAGTCATTAAAAATCAAAGAAAAAAATACATGGATAAAAGTTACAGTGCAGTGTAAGATATGAACAGATCAATTAAATAGCTAGAGTAAGGGCTCAGAAGATCAAACATATTACAATTCATTGCTGAGATATGTGATTAAAACAAGAACCACATGATGGCGCGACAGAACACTTAAAATAAGATATTTTCCGACTCAGACCAACCCAGTAAATGTTCCATCCTTACAGCCATTGAGCTAGCATAGCATAGCACACATCTTTCAACGCTTCCTCTCACCTGTGCTATGCTGTTCAGTGTCTGTCTGAGCTTGCGCCGTTGATTGGTCAAACTGTATCTTCTTGATAGTGGTGGTGAAAAAACAAATACAATTAAAACATTTGATTATAATTGCTGAATTGTTAGTGTTAGTTAGTGTAGTCATAGAAAAGCTCACTTAGTCCGCAGATAGGCAGAGAGGATGATGAAGATGATGATGGTGATGAACAGGAGGAAACCGAGTGTTATCCCAATGTGTGACCTCGATGCATCTGTGCCATAAAATGAATTTCAATACAGGATGTTTAAGTCCGTCAAACTGTTCTGCTTTCTGTTTTTATGCAATTTTAAACCTACCTTCCGGATGGTCTGGAAGTAAACTGCTGATTCTCTGTCTGTTACTTTAGATGAAAATAAGGAGCCCCTCCCCACGCCCCTCTGAGAGAGATTTGGTTAAAAATAACTCAATGGTGCTCTAGGAGGAGATTCAGGTGATAAGGGGGGGGGGTTACCTTGGTTGCTGATTGGCTAATGGTTACTCAAGACAAAACATCGTTATGACATCATAAAGTGGCCAAAATCTGATCAGCTCATTTTCAGACAGGTTTTTATAGAAATGGATCAAAAAGAGAGAGAATCTTTGTTCCTGAAACTTTCAGAGTCTCTTTCCACAGAGGGGACACATGTTGATGTAGAAGAGACATGAAGAAGAGGGGACACATGTTGATGTAGAAGAGACATGAAGAAGAGGGGACACATGTTGATGTAGAAGAGACATGAAGAAGAGGGGACACATGTTGATGTAGAAGAGACATGGAGAAGAGGGGACACATGTTGATGTAGAAGAGACATG